CTCGTGCACGTCTCTTAGGCCATGCAAGCGTTGTTTGCACCCTTTGCTCGGCCTTGTCCATTAACCTCGGCCCTCGGCCCTTCACATCATTGAGGGTCAATTCCCACTTCCTTATCATTCCCGCCCCCTTTAAGAATGTCCTTGTCCTCAAGGACTTGTCATCGACCATTAATTGGGGCGTTCTCACCTCATACACTACGAGCGCATTTTCTTCCTCAACCACTGAAACCTCTAGTACACTTTCTTCATTCTCTTTCTGAACCTCGCTGGCCACTTCATCTCCTTTAGACTCAACCGAAGTTCCTTCATCTTCGACAAATTCGTCGGGGTATTCATCGAATATAGGCGTTCCTTCATAGTCCGTCAACTCGTACTCATACTTCTTGATCGTTGAAAAATATTTTGAGAATTCAAATGGGAAGATGGACTCCTTACACTTTTCGTCGATCTGGCCTTCTCCTCTGTGGCACTCGCCTAATGTGTGGTCGGTTGATCCATCCAGCTTGCCTATCTCGGATTGTTGTTCGATTGTGCAAACCTCGTGCACCTTGCCTTTGGCCTTAGTTACCTCGACCTCAGCTTCTTTAGTTACTTCGACATCCATGAGTTCATCTTCAGGGTATACGTCGAAGATAGGTGGGCCATCATTATCCGTCGAGACTTGCTCGTCCTCTTCGAAGTAGTCGTCGAACAGAGGGAGTTCCTTGTACTTGACTGGCTCGACTGTGTCTGCCTCCTTGACGGTGAAGATCTGGCCGCCCACATGCCAAACTCGCTCTATACTCTTGAGACCAACCTCCTTGGTCCCACCGTCCTTGCTTGCCTTTAACGTGACCCGGTGCTCTCCAGAGTTGAACTCCATGACTCCTATCCGGTAGTTGGTGGTCACCTTGCCTAATCCCTCGAGCCACTGCACTCCTAGCACAATGTCGGGTCTAACCAAGGGTAGCGCATAGAGATCGGCTTTGATGGTGACTCCTTGAAATTTAATCGATATCGCACGGTAAGCCTCCGAGCACTTTAGCTGTTCTCCATTGGCTACT